GTGAGTGTGTGGAAGGAGGAGCTCTGTTAGCTCATTTGAGAGGGTGTGCCAAATGGAGAAGTGCAAAGGCCTTGTGGCAGAAAGAAGATCCAAAAACGGTTAAAGAAGGCCTGAGGGGAAGAAGTGATGCTAAGAATGAGGCCATTGTTCAATGCAATACTGCAGAGATGGCAGAATTAAGGTGACATGATTAGTACCGTTTACTGAGTGCCAGGTACCTGCCAAGGGCTGTGGCTATGGCGTTTGATTTAATTTTTTTGGTGGTTTTCCACTGAGGACAATCCCCTTTCCCAGGGGACTTTTGAAAATGTCCAAAGACATTTTTGGTAGCCATAACCCAGTGAAGAGGCTACTGACATGTAGTGGTTGGGGCCAGAGATGCTGCTAAGTACCTTATAGTGCAAGGGACAACCCCACAACAAGGAATATTCTAGCCCAGAATGCCAATAATAGTGAGGTTAATACCCCTGCATTTCCATGACAGACTAATGTGGTGTGTGTTACTACAATTGCCACTTTACAGTGAGGAAACTGAGTCCCAGAAACATCTCCGGCACCCTCCTTCCTACATCAGCTGCCCTTTCCCTACCTCATGCGTAGACCCCTCCTCCCTTACTTCCTGCATCTGTGTGCAACTTGGACTTCCTGCACGTGAAGCTTCAGGGACTGTGAAATGGACACGTCACCTAGATTTTCAGCTCTTTGCATATGAAATGCGGCTACCCAGTGGGAATTTCATGCTACATGTGCTGGCCTCACTCTTGTCATGCAGTTAGGCTGCTTTGCCTCTGAGGGACTTGGGTTCAGTCTCCAGAGTGATAGCCTCTGTTTAGGAGGCTGTGGGGAGTCAGCTTTGAGACCAGTACTGGACTGAAGCCCATGGAGCTGTGCTGGTGAATGTTACAAGGTAGTTGCCCCGAACTTTTCACTGTCACTTCCATTTACACTCTCCTCTCACCTCTAATGAGTTTCTCTGGGGATCGCTTAAGTCGTGCTCAGCCCTTAAGAAAGTTTCTGTAGCCCCAAGCTCTTCCCTCCAGGAAAGGCAATGGTGTGATGAGAACAACACATGGGTTGGGGGAGTGTACCTTGGATTTGGCTCATTGATTCAGGGAGTATTTCCTGAGGGCCTCTCTGTGCCAGGCACTGTAGTAGGTGCTTGGGACACAGTACAGTCCTCCTGGAGCCTACATTCTGTGGGTGAGGTAGACCATAACCAAGAAGGGTAATGCAGCAAACTTCTGTGCCACAAGGGAAAATAAAGTTGCAGAAGAGGGTTTAGAACTCCTTTTTGTGGGGTGTGTGTGGGAGTAGGGTGGGTGTGAGGTATGTGTGAGGCTGCATGTGTTAGAGTGTGATTTTTGATAGAGTGGCTAGGGAAGGCTTCTCTGAGGAGGTGACACTGTCACCTCTGAGGAGGTAACAAGCCTTCTCTGAGGAGATAACTTAAGGGATCCCCAGAGAAACTCCTTAGAGGTGAGAAGAGAGTGTAAATGGAAGCAACAGTGAAAGGTTCAGGGCAGCTACCTTGTAACATTCACCACTGAATGTCTGAGGAGGTGACATTCTCTGAGGAGGTGACATTGTCTACATGAGCAGGAATCTCCATTTCCATTGTGAATGTGTAAAGTAAGTGTTCAGTGAACATCTAGATTCGGGGCTCTTGGTAGGAACCTCACAGCACTTTCAGTGGGAGGAGACAGACAAGCACACCATAGTGAACTGGCAGGTGTAGTGACGAAGATTGGGCGCTGTGGGTGTGCACGGGAGGACTGCCTGGTTCATCCTTGAAGAGTGGCCTTGAAGGTAAGAGTGGATGTCTGAGGAAAAGGCCAGGGCAAGCCTGGGGCAGGGAGAACTACATGCAAGAGAACTGGGGTCATGAACAGGACTTCAGAGTGTCTCTGCTGTTTGAGTGTGGGGGTTGTGGATTTGGGGGAGTGTCTGGACTGCCAGAGACTCAATTCAAAGGGCCTCCCTTCTGCACCCAGGCTCCAATGTGGATGTGTAGAGAGCCCAGGTTCCCCAGGAGGGCTCTGTCTCCACAGGATATAAAGATGCTGGCCAGCTATGTGGGTGGAATTCTGCCCAGATCCGAACCAAAACAGCCTGAGGCTAGGGGCTTTGCTTCGAGAGGCTGAGCCTGGTGGCTGTCCCTCTGCCTGGCTCTCAAGATGTGTCTGCCCCACTGCCTAGACAACCTTCTTCCCAGAAATCCTGCCTGTGTCTTTGAGCCAGGAGGAGAAGGGAGGAATCAGGGTCACATGTGGGTGGCAGATGGAGGCAGCCCATAGGTCCCCCTGTGTGGCTAGACCCCTGTGGAGGCAGGACAAGTGGAGGTGCCCAGATAGTGCGGGGGACTCCCAGAGATAATGCTGGTTGCTCCTCGAAGGATGGTCATTCTTAGGGCCAAGGCTGCTGTGTGCCAGGCCTTGAGCTAGGCCTGGGATACCTGGCCCAGCCCTTGTGACAATCTCAGGCAAGGGGACACATTTTCTGATTGTAGGCAGGAAGTCCTGCTCTTGGATAGGGACCCAGAAAGTGCTGCCAGAGCTCCAGACGAAGGCTGTGTGGTCAGAGTCGTACTGATGGAGGTGGGCGGGGTGGCCAGGCAGAGGAGGTGTGAGATGAGTGGGGATGTGTGCTGGCAGCCATCCTTGAGCAGGGAGGTCCCTGTAGGCAACCTTGAGAGAGAGGTGAAGTGTGGGGCCTGTGGAGCTGGACAGCCTCCCCTGTGCTCACCCCAGCACCTACCTGCCTGCAGGGCACCTGTTTGGGGCAAAATGAAGAGGGCCAAGAGTCTCTCAGGCTCCTTAGGCACCCACTCCCTCCCCCCCCACCCTAATACTCCACTGCCAACAGCTGAAGATGTACACTAAGGTGTGTGTTGAGATGCATTTTAATTGGGTGCTGACCAAGTTCTGTTTCCAGCTTCCTGGCATGCTTTCTTTGGTGTTCCTGCTTCTTACACCTGGATGGCCTGCTGGGACCCCAGCTCTGGGCCTGTGTTTGGCCTTAAAAAGCTGCAATCCTGCAGGTGGGCTGGGTGCTCTGTGACTATTAGCTGCTGGACTTGGTGTTCACCTGGCAGGGTCCCACGGCAGGAATATCCAGGCCAAATGCCTCTCCAGGCAGGAACTCAGGACTCCTAGGGTCCACGGTTGTCCAAGAGAGAGGATTTCAGGTCTTTGGGTCTTTCCCTGTCTATAGTATGACACCATTCCATGTGGGATGTGGGGCATGTGTGTGTTTGTGCTTCACAGAGAGAGAGACAGACAGACAGGTGGACGGAGACAGAGACCTACATGACATCACTGCTGCTGAGACCCTTGATTTAATTGATTTTGGTTTCTACCTTATCTGTGGCTCCTTACCGAAACATCCATTTTCCAGCTTCCTGGAACAAAGTGAGATACATGAGTAACACCCCAGGATAGCTACAAACTGCAGTTTATGATATTCCTCTCCTATAAGGCCCGTGTCTTATTTCTCTAAGATCATTTATAGCTAACATTTATGGAGCATTTGCTATGTGTCAGGAAGTGTACTAAGAACTGTATATTTTCTGTCTTCTCTAACAATCAAAACAACTCTCTGAGATAGGTAATATATAGTGATCTCAAATTTACAATGAGGTTGATAGAGAGAAGTTAAGCCACTTATTCAAAGCCACACAGCCAGTTAATGGAAAGGCCAGAATTATAGTCCAAGTGATTTGGTTTTAAAGCCATGTTGAAATTGTGGCCAGATGGAGGGTTAGGGTCAGAAGGATGTCCTGTGGTGGAAGCCAGGCCCACCCACTTGCAGCAGGACCTTGCGAGTCTCTTGAGAGAGCAAAGAAATACCGTTTTTCTATGTGTGTCCTGTGGACCGTTCATGGAGTGAGACAGAGGATGACACTCTTCTTTTAGGATGACAATCTCTGTTCCCTCAAGCGACCAAGGCAGGCTTTACCTAGGTGTCCCAAGGTGTCCTGAGAGAGAAGGGGAGGCTGGTGGATTGATGGCTTGCTGGCCAGGGGTTGCATGCAGTGGCAGTGGAGTGAGTCTAGGGCAGCTCTGAGGAACATGACTTGCCTAAACCAAGGGCTGGTTCAGGGGAATTAAGCCTCAGAGTCAGGTGGGGAAGATGAGGCAGGTTGTGGGGTGTGACTTGATCATTAGCTGTTAGACCCATGGAGGATTCAGGCTGAGAACCAACTAGACACTGTGGGTCATGCTGCTGGTTCTTCATGGGGTGGGTGGTTAGGAGTGGGAGGACAGGTATGTAGGAGTGTCTGGAGCTAGGCCTGAGGGTGGACACAGTTTGCAGAGAAGGGGCACAGAAGCAGCAGTGGTGTCTTGTATTTGGAGGTGCAAGTGCCTCATATTGGGGGACACCTTGCAGTTTCAGGGCTTGGGGGACAAGTCGAGATCCCTGCAAATGGCTGTAGCCAGGGTGTAAGTCAAGGCTGCCCGGAAGGAAAAAAATGGTAACAAAGAGCAGATATGCAGTGCAGTCTCTCTTGGCACTTGAGAGCTGGTTTGGTGCCTAGATATCTCTGGCACGGCACTGTTTCTGGGTATGTATGCAGTGGATAGAGGTGGGGCCTGGAGATACTGGCTTGGAACCTCCAGACTTTGACTCTGTGAGACTTACCTCTAATGAGAAAATCCCCATTTGATTCTGCTCTGAAGTGGTCCTTAGAGTTCTCTCTTCTATCAAACTCTAATCATTTTGGCTGGAACATTCAGAATTCCACTCTGGAGTGTCTGGTCTTCAATACAGGGGCAGAAGAGTTTCCCACAGTCCTTTGGTACTTTGGCATTGGATCTAGTAATGCTATAGGAGAGCGTATTCTCCTTCAGAGTGAAATCAGAGGCTAGTGGTCCTGCTTTGAGCAGCTGAGGGTTGTTGTTTAGGGGTCTCCTGGCCCTGGGGACCTAACTCTCTGGGTCAGTCTCCCCAAATCCCCCAGTCTCAGGGATCAGAATTTGCCATGACCAGCTTTGTGTCTCCAGGGTGGTGTGGTGGATGACAGGAGTGAAGATTCCATGTCTGTCTCCACCTTGAGCTTTGGAGTGAACAGACCCACGATCTCCTGCATCTTCGACTGTAAGTGATGCTCTGAGGTATCTACAGGGGTGATACAGGTGTGTAACCTTACACTCCTATTTGTATGGGGTTAAGTGGTCAGGTGTGCATGTCAGGGCTCTGGGTAATTGTGTATATGGACTTATTGGTGAGTTTGTCTTTTGGTGTGTGCATGTGCCTGTCTGTGTGTGTGATGTGCACCCCAACCCTGGTGTGAGATTGGGCATGCCACACCCTGTGCATTGTGCCCCTGCCCTCGTCATCTTTTTTGTTTGTTTGTTTGTTTTTTTCCTGTACCGGGAATTGAACTCATGACCTTGCACTTGCCAGGGAGGCACTGTGCTGCTGAGCTAAATCCCCAGCCCCTGCCCTCATCATCTGTTTGGTGTCTCCTTTCCTGTCCTTCTCCAGCTTTAGCTTGGCCCAAGCACATAAGACTCAGCTGTGTGTCTTTGACCTCTGGTTTGTCCTTCTGACTTTGAGAGGCTCCCTCCTGCATAGTGGCCTGTGGCATTTATATCCTTCAGCCCCTTTGTCTGTGGCCCTTTCCAGGGCCAGATCCCATCCTTCCATTGAGTCCCAGCTCTTAACCAGCCTCAGCCCTTACTCTGACATCTCTGCTTCCTCCTCGGTGAAGATGGGAACCGATACCACCTCCGTTGCTACATGTACCAGGCCCGAGACCTGCCTGCGATGGACAAAGACTCTTTTTCAGGTAGGTGGGAGAGAAGGAGGGGTGCTGGGGGCCGTGGTCTGAGAGGTGACAGTGGAGGTGTTGCACCTGTGGGCATCAGGGAACGTGGCCCCAAGTGTCTCCTTATGGGTGGGTGCTGCTGTGTTGGCTGGATGCTCTTGCCAGGGTTCTGTGGCCTCCTGGGCATCAGATACAGCAGCTGTTGGCCTGCTTGATGCTTCTGCAGGATTTGCCTTGTTCTGCCACCTCTGCTCCTCTGGCCTTGGCTTTCAGGCTGCCACTGTCTCCTGGGCCTCCTTCTCTTGTCCAGCAGCCTGTGCAGTTTATCCTGTCCAAACCCTACTTCCTGAGGTCCTGCCCCATCCAGATCTAGGCTCCTGTGCATTTGCTGCCTTGGCTCTGGGGCTCCTTACCCAGGCTGCCCATTACCCAGGCTGCCAAGCCTCAGTGTCATAGTGCTGTGGATTCCAGTTCTGAATTGCTCAAATCTGTTCCCTCTTCTTCAGCGTCAGGTTCCCATCTCACAGCAGCCTAACTCCTTCTTATGAGGACACTTCGTAGTCTCCTGGCCTCCCTGCACCCTTCAGGGCCCTAACCATACCTGGCACATTGCTCCCCTGCTTTCAGAGGGAGACCCTGGCAAATGGCTCACCACTACTCAGCCCAGCAGAGGAGTCCTTTGAGATGTGGCTGCTGTGAACCGCACCCGTTCCCTCTTGTGCTGTCTCCTCTGTCTTCTAACTCCAGCCCCACCAGCTTTCCTGTGTTTGTTTGCCACCTTCTTCCATGTGCTGGCCTTTTGCACTCAGTGTCCTCTTTGCCTAGAATGCATTCCCTCCCTAATTTTAACTCCATGAACTCCTAGTCATCGTTCAGTCAGAGTCCAGCCCAGGTGCCCTCTGACTGTTCCCTGAGGTGAGCTGGTTGCACCTTCCGCAGCGCCTGGCTGGCACCTCTCTCAGAGCCCTTGCCCAATACAGAGACCAGCTGCATTCTCTCTGCCAGTCTTCCCACTTTGACTGTAAACTCCCAGGAAGGGACTTTATCTTTCCTCTGAGCCCGCAGCACTGGGTATCTCAAGAGTAAACTCTTGCTGAGTGCTCACTGTGTGCCCAGGCACCAGACTGACAGTGTTTTATGTGACCCTTACAAGCCCCATGAGGTAGGTGTTTGACCTCTATTTGACAGGTGGAGAAATGGAGACTCAGAGAGGTTCACTAAATTACTTGAGTTGAAATAGCTGTCAAGCGACAGAGCTGAGAATTGAAGCCAAGGCCACCTCCCACCAAATGCCTGCTCCCTGGCTGAGTAGGGCTGAGTGCCGTGCGAGTGGCCTCCTGGTCTCAGACTGCCCTGCAGCTCACAGCTGTGTGCCTGTTGCCCTTCCCGCTCCACTCTCCTCCCCTCGTGGGGACCAGTCTTTTTCCTCCTCCTGACCAGCATGTTCCCGAGTGTCTTACCTCTCGGTACTTGCCTTCCATCCCCGTGCTTCCAGACACTCTGAGACACATGTCCAGGGTTCTGACCAATGGGGCTTAACTTGAGAAAAAGAAATAGACTAATTCACAGCCTCGCTTCCTTTTCCTTCCAGGCTGTGAGGGGTGAGGACGGGAAGCTGGGAGGGGGAAGGGGGAGCTTCCCTTGTCCCCTCTGTGCCGGGTTGGCTGAGGACCTGTGGAGTGAGAGGTCTTCCTTGAGACCAGTGTGGGGAGCCAGTGCTCGGTCTGAGGACTGCAGTAGCCGGGCCAGCCTGGCACTGGCCTGCGGAGAAGTCACACTTTCCATCCGGGCCTCACCCCCTCCCCCAGATAAACATCCCTGGAGCTTTGAGGGCACTGCCCAGGGCTTCCTCAGAGGCCACTGGCTTCTGAATGAAAGGCCCGATTGAGCAGCTGCTGGAAAGGAAAACAGCAGCCAACACGGGGGGAACCTATAAAACCCAGAGTGTTTATTTTCACTCCCAAACCCTAAACCAAAGCAATTTCTCCCCTGGAACTGACCCTGGGGTGGCTGGCGGCCTGAGACTGTGCATGGCCACAGGCTGGCATTTCTCTGAGGAAACTCATGTGTGAATCCAGAATGTCTGGGGCCAGGGGAGGGTCTAGTACCGTCTGCCACTGGGAGCAGCTTCCAGCTGCCTGTTAGTGTCCGGGGCAGTGGGACCCTCTTAGAATGCACTTCTGAGACTGACCCTGTTGCTCTGGGCCTTTCCTGGGCTTTCATGATCCCATAGGCTCTGCTTGTTGCCATTTGGTGGGCTTTGGGGCTGTGTGGAGGCTGAGGCCACGCCTACTCTTTCTGCCTGGGTGAGGAACTGAGGGGGCTATGCAAGATGCCTGGGAGACACTTGCTGAGCAATATTGAATATGGGAGAAGCAGGCTCTGCGGAGACATTGCCATGCAGGAGACCTGAGGATTGAGCCTTGTGCGGTTCTTGGACCTGTGGCCACTATGGAGTCTCTGGACCCGTGGAAGGGTGTCTGCTGCAGGAGGTGTGTTTATGAATGCATGTCCTGCACAGTGATCAGGCACATGATGTGAGATACTGCTCATTTTGATGACTTCTCTTTGCGTTGGAATAGGCTTGGCACTGTCTTGCGAGGATCCGTCACACCTACTGGCTTCGCTTTGGACTGAAAGCTGTGACTAGAGAAGATTAGAAATCGCATATCATCAACACTATACCTAGCTCTGCCCTGCTCACCCTATAACTCTGAACTGGACAGCATTGCTTCCCCAAACGTGCCTGAGCTGTGTTGCTCTTCAATATAGTCTGATATTTCTCAAGGACAGTCCTGCCAGAAGTGGTCTGCTTAGCCATCTTGCTCCCTGGGTTGTCCGCTTTGCCTGTCACCTGCTGAGAACCACTGTCGGGTTGGATGGAGCCATAGCTCTGCTAATGGAGATGCTGCTCTCTGATACATGGGGCCCCTGGGCAGCCCTCTTATGATGTCACCACATGGCAGGGGATGGCCCTTAGCTGGAGGAGCCTGGAAATGCCTCTTCAAGGGTCTCACAGGTCAGAGGGCTCATGGGAGATGAGCCTGTCATTCTTAACCCAATGAGAGATGGCTAGGAGATCAGATGCCATGATATTTATTAAGTTATGGCCTGGGGTATCCCTTGAGAAAGCAGAAGGTCCTGTGCTCCCTTTGCTCACCCCGGCTCTTGGGAGGTCAAAGCTGTGTGCCACTTTGAAGGTCCTGAGAGGTGTTCTTGCTGGGCCAGGCCACAGTGAGGCCTGAACTGTGGCTACCCCATAGCTGGGACCACTTCTTTGTGACCTTTAGTTTCCCCTCCGGATCTGGCCTTCGTCCTTGGGTAGTGTGGAGGAATTCTTGCTTTTGGGCTTCTCGTGCTTAACTTCTGGTTATCTGCTCCAGCCCTCAAGCATGGCTTTTTGCTCAGGTTGGCTGTGGCTGAGACAATCCACGCAGTGAACCAAAGGAGGTATTTTCCAAAATGCCCCAGAGACTTGTGAAATGCTCCACTTAAAAAGGGTTCCTGAGTGAGAGGGACCAGGAGACGGCTTATAGATTTACAATGCATGGTGGCATAGAGGCTGACAGCGGCGATTAGGGAGGGGCCTTTTAACCTGTTGAAATACTTCTTAGCTCTCTGGAGAACTGAGAACCACCAGCCAAAAAGATTCAGTTCGAATTGCTGAGCCTGAGTCCAGCACTGTTTGCTATTCCCCTACCCCCACCCCACCTTCCTGCCCTGGGTACTCTCTTCTTTCTCGCACCCTCACCGTTTCCCAAGTGCCCATGCTCTGTGGTGTCTTTGCCTGTGCTATGCTGTGTGCCTGGAAGTCTCTTTTTTCTGTGGTCTGTTTTGTCTGAGTTTTCATTCTTGAGACTCAGGGCAGGAGCTGTCCTTTGGGAAGCCTGACTTAATGTCACCAGGCTACACTGGGCACCCCACCCTCACACCTACGTGGTCAACTAGGTTGCCTATTACCCTGCCCTTGTCTTATAAGCATTAGTTACTGTTTCCAACCAGCACTCGTATCAATAGCTTGGATTATACCTAGTACTGTGCTAACAACCACATGGGAGTCAGTCAGTACTTGTATATTGAATGAATGATGCGTTATAAATAATATTAGCATGAACATCTTTGTATATACCTTTTGGTTAATTTTGATGAGTCCCAGGAATATGGGAAAAAGGGTATAAACAGTTTCATGCTTTTCAGGGCATATTGCCCAATTGTTTTTCAGAAAGGTTGCTGGGTTGTTTCCAGCAATAAAAGAGGATACTTACTTCATCAATTATTTGCCAACACTATTTTATAATTTTAAACAATTTTTCTTAATTTTATGGAAACATATTGCTGGTAGGATAGTTTTAATTTGCATTGCCTTGATTACTAGTGACCTACTCCCCCTCCCCTTCTATGAATGGGGCATGTAAGGAGTACTGGACGAGGAGCCAGGGGTTGAGTCTTGGGCGCTTGTGATTGTGGGCTACTGACTTCGCCTTCCTGAGACAAAACTCCCTCTTCTGACAAATGTAGTAACACCACCTGCCTTGTGCCCACACTGATGGACTGGAGTGGTTTGGTGGGAAAGACCATGGAAAAAGCTTAGTGTTTCAAATACAGAAGTCTTCCCTGGAGATGCAGGAAGGTCTGAGCAGCAGGGCTGGGCCCAGACAGTCCCCTGCAGGGTTCTGGATTCAGCCAGATAATCACAGCCTGGGGCTTGGTGACTGGTCTCCGGCTCTTTTGTGGTAAGGGAGTGTGGTGGGATCCTTGTGTACTCATGGCTAGGGCCTCCCCAGGGTAGCTTGTGGTCCTCATGGAGTGCCCATTCAAACACTCTGAGCTTGGCGGGTGTGGGCCTTAGAGAGCCCTAGATGAGAATGGATGTGGATGCCAGCCCACCTTCCCTTCTGCCTCTCCTTGGGAAGCTGGTGCATCCTTCTCTTGGCTTTCCTGCAAGAGGATGTGTCTATGTGTCTATCTGACCACCTTGCCATAGCAACCTTCCTCCCGCCCCGTGTTTTTTGGGGGAGGAGGGGCTGGGCCCTGTTGGGGGAGAGGCCAGGCCCCAGCACACAGTAGCCCAGTGTCTGAGGCCCCAGGCCTCCAGGCCTGCTCTTTACAATGCCTTTGTTGTGTTTTTTCCTCCCATGGGCGGGTGGGGCACGTGTGTAGGTCTGGGTGAGTTTTGTTTGAAAGCCACCCCCTCCCTGTCCCCCCCAGCCCCAGCGCTGAGCTCATTGCCTGAGCTGATGGGGCTGCTGGAAAGAGTTGGCCTGCTCAGGGGGCCAGTGTGGGGGGTGCTGCCAACACCAATACAGTGTGCGCAGCCGCTACAATGTGCAATTGTGATCTTTGTGTAAACGCGGTTGGTCTGGGGCCCGCACGCTTATAAAAATAAAGCGTTGGGAAGCACGGGGGGTGGGAACAAAAGGGGCTTTTTTGCCGGTTCTCTAATATGGTTTTATTTATCGGAACGCGCCCTCCTTCCCTTACTGGAACTGGGAGAGGTTCTCTGCCGAGCTTGGAGCTGATGGTATCACAGCCAGACGGTTTCATTAAATGCACAGACGCCGCTGGGCCCTGCCAGGGGCAGAAGGCAAAGGGCTCAGGGCCAGCCCTGCCAGGGATGGTGCACGGAAGGGGGAGCCCTGCGCCAGGGAGGCTCTCCCCAGGTGGGGGTGGCGAGACATGGTGGCATTTCTCTTCTGCCCTTCCTCTGCCAAAGGCCTCCCATTGCTTTCTTCTACCCCCAGAATCAGAGCCAAAACCAATTTCCTGCAGGAAGGCCTCCATGATTGGCTGGACTATGCTTTTGTGCCTGAGCCAATGGGCTGGCCCCAGGCTGGTGGCTATTTCCTATTAGCCTAAACCAGCATTGGTCAGCCAGTGGGTATCCGTGGCTCCTGTCCCTTTGTTTAGATGTCCTCAATCTTACACTTAGGTCCTGCTGTCTCCATCCCTTATTGGGAGTCTTGCCATTGCCCACTTTCCCTTCCTGCCTCTCTTACACTCACCTCTTTCTGCCACCTCCTGTGTGGTGGCTTTTGATCTCTTTATGGCCAGGGAGCCTATCTTGCTCTCCTCTCCTTTTTTGGGAAGTGCTGCCTCCCCATCCCAGCCCCAGGGATATTTTTGAATAATTCTGCACTTATCTGAGGCTTTAAGGCTGAAGCTATTGCCTCTAAGGCCACTGAGGTCCTCTTGAGGTCACACAAGGAGCAAGTAGCAGTACTGGAGCTAGCCTATGGGCTCTGAGTTTGCAGGGCACCGCCCCCACGCTGAGGTCCTGTAGAGAGACGGCAAAGGAGCCCCCTCCTCCAAGCCCTCTGCTCCTCTCCTGTTGACCACACACTCAGTCCCATTGGATCTTTTGCATTGGCTTCTGAAGTGTGGCCCTGAAGGGCACATCAGACTCTCCCAGGAAACTGTTAGAAGTGCAAGGACCCCACTAGGGATCTGTTGCAAGGAAGTGTGTGGGGTGGGGCCACCAGGCTGTATGCCTTCCAGGTGATTCTGCTGCATGCTCAGCTTGGAGAACATTGCCTTAGAACTGGCTCCAGTGACGCTAACTTGCTTATGAGACTAAGCAGAAATAATGACATGTGGCTAGGTCTCAGGCCAGTGAGGCCGGCAAGCTGCAAAGGAGTTTGGGGGCAGGATGGAGCTCATGCCTCCCGTTGCTAAGCAGCTCTTGAGGCCATGGCCAGCTAGGCCAGTACCATCCCTGCTTGGACCATTGCCTCACAACTGGTCTTCCCACATTCCTTTCTGCCCATTCCAGTCTGTTCTCTATACAGCAGCTGGGGTGAGCTTGCTACAGTGAAGACCCAGTCATATCATTCGGATGGTACCCTAGGGATCACAGAGCCCAGCATCTCTGCATTGTTCCCCTGTCCTCAAAGAAGCCAGATCCTTCCCTAAGATTCTTCATGGCACTTTGCACCCATTGTTTAAGGCTCTGATCCAAACTCTGATTTTATATTTATGCTCATATTTGATATTTTGCTCAAATTGTGTTCTCGGCCCTCAGCCTTGCATTCAGGAGGCACTCCGTAAGTGCTTGCTGGTGAACGAATAAATGAATTGACCATATAGGCACTTCCTCCAGTTGGATGTTCCCTCACATGGCCAGCCCAGAAGCAGTGCAGAAGGGGGTACTGTCTGGACTTGGAGATCCCTTGTGTGTACCGGGGCCCCATTTTCACCTGCTGGCCCGCCAGCTGGCCTCACAGAGGGACTGGGAGTCCCCTGGAGAGAATGGGTTCTGGCGTGAATGCTGTTGCTCCACAGTGGCAACCACAGCCCCCCTTCAGCTTTGTAGCCCCTGTAACTCCTGAGAAGGGGACTCTCAGGGTCCCTGCTATGGCCTGTCTCCCTTCCCTTCCTGGTCCACACAGATCCCTACGCGATCGTCTCCTTCCTGCACCAGAGCCAGAAGACCGTGGTGATGAAGAACACCCTAAATCCCACCTGGGACCAGACCCTCATCTTCTACGAGATCGAGATCTTTGGCGAGCCCGCCAGTGTTGCCGAGCAGCCACCCAACATCGTGGTAGAGCTGTATGACCATGACACCTACGTGAGTGTGCCCACTGCGTTCCTTCGCCCCTCACTGCTGCCCACTGCAGGGATCCGGGGAGGGACATCCTCTGAGTGCTGGGTCTTCGCAGACTCTGGACTTCCCACTCACCTGGATGCTCCCAAAGCCTGGGACTAGTACCCCTTAGGTTGTACGGTAAACTTTGAAAATATTTTAAAGAAATTAAAAATGGATTGCTAGCACCTGTGCTGTGCTCCATGGTAGACGTTGCTAAGGCACAGAGAGGGGACATATCTGGAAAGAATGCTTGGCTGCAGGTCAGGAGCTCTTGTTTTTTTCTGTCTCTCTCTTGCTTCTGTTTCCAGGCTAATCCTTTCTCCCCTTCAAGAGCTGTGCTGATTCTACAAACATTTATCAAACACTTGTTTTGCTAGGCTGAGTGGTCCCTTGCTTGGGGTTCTTCTGTCTAGGTGGGAGCGGAGATAGAGTAGAGAATCCACTCCATGAAACAGTATGTTCCTAAGTATCACATAACTCTGGCACAGGCAGGGCCTCCTAACAGAGTTATCCAACAGATCTTCGGCAATGATGGAGATGCTCTATAGCTCTGCTGTCTAAGATGGAGCTGCCAGCTGCATATGGCCCTGGAACGCTTGGAATTGGCTAGTTCAAACTGAGAAGCTGAGTTTTATATTTCATTGAGCTTTAATGAATTAAAATGTGAATTTAAATAGCTGCGGGTGGTGGTTATTGCTGCACTATTCAACAGTGCATCTCTAGAAGTTTCCCAGGAGGGAGAGATGGCATTGGCTGGAATATCAGGGAAAGCTGAGGGAAGGCAAAGGCCTGGAAGGAGGTGTGGGATGGTAGTGCTGGGGAAGACAGAGATGGAGGCAGAGGGGCATTCCAGCACAGCGTGGGGGTGATTGGGAGGCTGTGAGGAGAGGCGTGGGCAGACTGTGAAGAGAAAAGACTATGAGGCTGGGAGAACAGGGAGTGATGGGATCAGAGCAGCATTTTAAGAAGAGGAAATTGGATGCTACTAGAGGAGACAACTGGGCATGTAGCAGAGAAGCTTGGCTGGGGTAGGAGCTGCCTGTGGGATGAGAGGGGAGGCAGGGTTTGGATGTAAGAGTTGTCTTGTCGGCTGTCAGTTGCCCAGGAGGGTGTGGTGACCAGGGGCTGGGGGAAGGCAATACTGTTCACAGTGCCCTATTCTGGGCAAGGTGTGAGGGCTTGTGAGGGTGAAGCACCAGCTGGCAGTGGGAACCATAGGTCTGGGCTGGGGAGCTCAACCTGCGAGCTCTTGGAGGGAAAAGCTGGGACTGTGGGGGATTGAGCAGCTGGAGGGAATCTAGTGGAGACCATAGTGAGAAAAGTTCAGGCATTTTTGGGTGCAAGAGGAGGAGAAAGGTGAGAGGCTTGGTAGGGGGCAGGGAAGGGGACTGAGCAGAAGGGACAGGGGCCCAGGCTGTAGTAGACCTCTATGTGGGTCAGCCCACTCACACCTAGTCATGGCAACTCTTTCTGGAAATATCTTCCAAACCATATTCCTTTCTCTCTCCTCCTCTTTGCCACATGCCTGCTTGGCTAACACATAATTTCTTCCTAAATCCTCCAACCTCCTTATCTTAAAATGTTGCCCCAACCCCATTGTGCTCTGCATGCCAGGGCCTGGAAAGGACCTAGGAGGGAAGGACCATGGCCTATTTTGGGTGAGTAGTAGTAGGCTCCAGAGTCCTGGAGGTGAGCTGGCATTATGCCCATTATTTATCTGTTCAAAGAAGTCTGCCGCTGTTGGCCAGTAACCACTGTGGTAAGCTCCCACTATCCTGTCTGTCCAGGCCTTCTGCCAGCCGCACCCTCTCCCAGGACCCAGCAGCTAAAGGGGGAGCACCTGGCCCAGAGCCTTCACTCTGAGTGACTGGTGCTTGACTGCCACCCATTGGTGTGGATTTATATGCAAGAGCTGGTGGTCATTCTAGGATGGCTTCTGGGGATGTTGTGGTCTCCTGAAGCAGTGTGACTACAGTCAGGCTGTTTCCCAGCTCCTGCTCTGGGCAAGGCGTGAGGACGTGTGAGGACCACAGCACCATCTGACTGAGACCAGCTCTGTCCAAAGTTCCTGGGGCTGTGAGGGATGAACAGTCTCCTTCAGTAGCTGAAAAGGGGAAAGGCCAACTCCAGTGTGGGAAGTGGCCCATGCAAGGGCAGGGAGAGACCAGATAGGGGGCTAGAATAGAGGTTATACAGTCAGGAGCACAACAGGGAGGGAGAAGTATGCAGTGTTCAGTGAGGGCCTCCACAGACTCTCTCCACAGTGGAGAGAGTCCTCTGGGCAGCAAGCAGGGAGTCAAGAAAATTTCTTGTGTAAAGGAATTATCTGCTGAAAACATCGGTTTAACAAGATTCACTTAATCTGAGGAGCTTGATCACAGTGTCCCCATTTGAAAGGTGGGGAAATTTATGGGTGAAATGAACAGCTGGGAAGTGCAAAAGTCCCTGGGAATATCAAACACATATATAGTTGAGGGCATTTGGGAAGCTGCTTGTCTAATCTCAGATGGGTTCAGAGCTGAGTTAAATGAAAGCAGGGTGACATAAGTTGGACATACAGAGGGACTTCTCAGCCATGGTGCGAATTCAAACCTAGCATAGTGGCTAGGGGTTGCTTGCATCCTGCTCGTAAGGGGAGTTGTGCTTCTTGTTTTGCACAAGGGTCCCTTCCCTGACTTCTGAAGTCCTTGCTAATCCAGAGGGTAGGGATGCATACTTGGTGAAGTCTCAGAGGGCATTTGGAACCCCGGGCAGGAGATGCCCTTATTGTTCTTCCCCTATGCCTGATCTAGGGTGCAGATGAATTTATGGGCCGCTGTATCTGTCAACCAAGCCTGGAACGGATGCCTCGGCTGGCCTGGTTCCCACTGACAAGGGGCAACCAGCCAGCAGGCGAGCTACTAGCATCTTTTGAACTCATCCAGAGAGAGAAGGTGAGATTGGTCCTTGTCAAGATGCAGGAAGCACAGCAGGGGACACATGGCTCACAAGGGTGGGGTGGGGACAGGCAGCTGGGGCTGCTGATGCACACTTTTCCACCAGGGCTGGTGCTCAGTGGCCCCCTCTGAAAGTCAGGCATCCTGCTGAGAGACACATTTTGCCCATCTTCTCTGAATACAAGTCGGAACACAATGCTTCATTGGGTAGAATGTTGGAATCCAGAACGTTAGAGTCCTCTGGCCACTGGAAGTTTTCTTTCCTAAGTCATTACTGACATGATTTCTGGGAGAGGAGGTATGGATTAGTTTTCTCATTGCTTGAGCAAAATGCCTGACACCTACAATTTAAAGGATGGAATGGTTTATGTAGCTCATGGTTTCAGAGGGTCCAGTCCTGGTTGGCTGGACCCCAGACAGAAACAGCATGACAGGAAAGCCTAGTGAAGCAGAGCTGCTCAGTTCATGGTGGGCAGCTGAAAGGAGAGTGGGTTATATTTGTTTTTTTTTTTTCCCCCCGGTACCGGGAATTGAACTCACGACCTCACATTTGCCAGGCAGGCGCTGTGCTGCTGAGCTAAATCCCCAGCCCCAAGAGAAGGTTGTAAAGAGCACCAGAAAGGAAAGGGCTAGGAACCAGATATAGTCCCTGAGGTCACACCCCCGTCGACCTCTCACACACACCCAAAAGTATGCTTTACTAATATGCTAGATGCCTTTAATCCAAGTCAACTTGACAATCATAATTAATGGTCACGGGGGGCCTCTGGTCTGGTGAAGGGAGCACTACCTGTAGTGAAGGGGGAACTCCTAGAACAAGAAAGCGTACGATCCTGGTTCTAGAACTGGCTCTTCCATGGCCCGGGTGTGTGACTCTGGGCAGTCAAGTTCCTGTTGTAAAATAGGAGGCTTGAGTTAGAGCTCTGCATCTGAACCTGTTCTTCATAGATGAGCCCCACTATGTGAACAGATAGGAGGAAGCCTGCTATGGGTCAAGTGTCTGGTGGGGCCACAGCACACTGCCGACTTAGCTGCCTCTGTGCCCCTTCCTTTCCCAGTCTGCCCTATCCTATTCCTGGACATACCCCTTGGTGTGATTTCATACGTTGAACTGGCTAGGGCAAAACAAAGTAACTGGGCCTTGAGGGACCAATACATGACTAAAAGCCCTCTTTTTTGTCCCTCTTAGCCGGCCATCCACCATATTCCTGGATTTGAGGTACGTCTTGTGCTTTTCTTTCCTTCTTTAAGGTAATCATCAGTCTCCTTCTGAGAAACGAGGGGGATCAGCAGATCCTGTCTCTCTCCTGCCTGCGGTCAGAGTGGGGGTGGTGCTACGGTCCCCATCTCACTCACAGTCTCCTTGCGCAGCTCAGATTTGTCCTTCCTTGAGAGGTCTGGATTGCAGATACCTCCTGAATGTCCAGCCAGTGGCTCTTGGCTGGGCTGTGCATTAGAACACCTTGGGCAGCTTTGAAACTCACCTCACTGCAGGCCCCACCCCAGACCAAACAAGATCAACTTCTAGGGTGCACCCCAGGTCTTGGTGTCTTCCAACACTGCCCAGGGGCTTTTAATTATGCACCTGGGGCTAAGAACCACGGACTTAGCCCCATGATTCAGAAAATGTGGTCCCTACCAGCCGCCCCAACATCATCCGGGTTATTGTGAGAAATCCTGATTCTTGGGTCCCATGTCAGATGCTCTGACACCCTCTGCTCTCACTAGCCCTCCAGGGTGCACACTTAGTTTCAGAAACTGATTTTCACTGGATTTCCCAACTCTTTCTTCCCATGTGACTGTGTATTCTCTTCTGTGCCAGTGATGGGGTCTTCATCGTTTTCTTCTTGCTCTCCCTCCTCCTCCTCCTGGGGGTCATGGTGGAAAGTTAGACCTTTGTCTGGTACCAGGCTTATTTGATGCATTACACAAATCTAGACCAGGCTCAGCGGTGGCCGTCTGGGCTCTGTTTGGACACCTCATTGGCGGCACAAGGTTTAAATAGTTCTTCCCACAAAAGGCCGTCTTTGCCACCCCCATTCCACCTGCCCTTGCTTCTCCCCTGGCTTCTGCTGCTCTCCCTCCTTGTTCTGCCTGAGCTCCAGCCCTCAGTTCTGCCTGCCCTGGAGTCTTTTAGGTTATTCTTAGCTCCTCAAGCCCACAAGCCCTGGTGGAGAGGTGCCAAGGCTTTCTTCTTCCTGGGGCTGCTGCACAGGGTCCTTGCCTCTCACTCTCCTAACTCCTGTCACTTCTGGAGCTGCCTGGGCTCCAGGCTTGGGTTTAGCTTTCCCCATGAATTGCTTTGGCTCCAGGTCCAGAACACATTTTCAAGGGATCCCATGGAGAGTATGGCTGGGGAGCATGCCATCCTTACACTTGATGAGAGATTTCTGTTCCCTTTTAGTGGCAATGTCTTATATGCTGATCTCTGGCCCACCCTATAGCTCTTGGTTACTAATGGAGAACTTTTACTTCCCCTGCTCCTACCATCTGGATTGCAACATCTCATGATTGTGTTCCAGGTGCAGGATACATCCAGGATCCTGGACGAGGTAAGCAGGACTTAAGCTGTAGCCTGTGGCTGGGAGTGGGTGGTGGGGAGCTTCAGAGGGAGGGGAAGGTCAGCCTCTAAGCAGGTGCCCCATACCCTTCTGGTCCCTGGTGCCCAGCAGGCTCCTGTCACATGGAGACCTGTGTAGATTTTATTCTGCATGCTCTGTGTGGGTCCCCAGCTGTGTAGGGTGTGTCCTGGAGTGACTCTTTCCTTAGAGGCTTGCTGCCCTCTTGGGGGCAAAAGCAGACTCATCCCAACTACTCCGACAACAGTATCTGGTTGAGTATCTGGCGACATGTCTTCACGATTAACAGGCTCAGCAGGGGCTACAGTAGTCAAGGAAACCATCAGAAGGAGGTAGGAAACAAGTCTTTGGTCCAAAGGGCCATGCACCAGGGTGGGGCCTGCCTAGTTTAGGAGATGGGGTGGGTCCGGGGTTCCTAGAGACTGAAGAAGTTTGGTGTTGCCTCTGCTTGAAGCAGGCCACATGCTTTGCGGGTGAGAAACGTTCGCTTGCAGCCTTCTGTGCACCTATAAGCAGATGGTCATGGGTGAGCTGGGGTCAGAGGCCCTGGTAGAGAGACAGGAAGGAGAGCCCTGGGCAGAAGGGCATTTGGGGAAAAGGCAGCTACTTCCCACCATCAGGGAATCCCCAGGCTGGGAACAGACACCGTTTGACATTTTCAGTGCAATTTGGGCTCGCAGTGCAGGATCAGGATGTGGGATCCACAGGCCCCGCGCCCCTTACCTCACTTCCTTTCCCTCCCAGACCGAGGTGGGGTCCGCCAAGTGAGCTGGCCTTAATTGCGCCTGACAGGCAGCCTCCTGCTCCTGGCTGCAGTTGCGAAAGACTGCCGATTTGGAAAGCGAGGCAGAGTCCTGTCCAGGGAAGCAGCACGGAGCCCTCGCTCTTGATTGAGAGCGCTCTGCGGCCAAAACCCACAGCCTGCTCTAAAGAAGACCCAGCCCAGGGATGAGTTATTTAAAAAAAAGTTAAAATCCTTAATAAGTGGATTTGTCATATGTAACAGGGAAGGCTCAGATTCTGAGAGCAGGGATCTGGCTGTGGTCTGGTTGTCAGAAAGCAAATCAGAACTGCAGCTTTTGGGCCAGACCCCGAAGAGGGCCAAGTGACCTTTACAGGGCCAGCCAGGCAACAGGCTAAGGCCTCATGTGGCCAGTGGGCCCAGAAGGGAGCAAGCCTGGGGTTCTGCTACGTCCAGGGCCCGGGTGAGCCAGCAGGTTCAGAGGGTCAGACGCCCATTAGGATGAATGGAGTATCATCTGGTCGGAGAACAACTCCTTGAGATGACTTGGAGCCCACTCTCATTCCCAAGGGTCTCACCCAGCCCACTTCCCTCTCACGTGAAGGCAAAGCTTCTTGCCAAGATCCTGGGTCCTGCTAGGTTTTGAGACTCCCCAGGGCCTGGGTGGAGGCAGGTTGGTCCTGCTGCTGTGCTGGTCCTATGAGCAGCCTGAGGCTCCAGCAGGCCTTTTCTGTCTTTGCTGTGGTCAGGCTCTGGCCTTGCATCTTCCATTCTGCCCCTTCCAGACCCAGCCTTGTGCCTACCAAGAGTGCTTAGCTTTCCCACTGGCGGTGGGAGCCTTGCAGTCTGGGAGCCTGGAAGGGTTGATGGGTGTGTTAGGAAGCTGTCTGTCTAAGCAGATGTGGATTGGGAGGTGAGAACCCAGGAGGAGACCAACCAGGAGGCTTAGGAGATAGTTGCAGAGAGGCCGGAACAGATGGGGCAGGGAGTCTGAAGGCTGGTTTGAGGGTGGCCTTTCCAATGAAGGCTGCTTCTTAGCTAGTGTAGCCATGAACAGAGATCCACACATGCCCTTGTGGAGTCAATGAAGGAGATGCTTATGCTGAGAGCTCCCAGGGAGGGAAATGGGGCTGGCTTCCTGGAAGAGGTGACACTGAACTAGTGTTTGCAGCGGGGCTTGGAACATAGGGTGAGCGAGGGGGCCCAGGCACTGGTGCCTTGGTTTGGGGCCAGTTTGGTAGGCAGCAAGCTTTCCCCTCTCCCAGACACTATGCTATGCAGAACAGCCCTCCGAGGGGTGCTTGGTGGGGAAGCAGACTGAAGTGTAGTTGTTTAGAGACTTTGCCAGTGGCTGACTTCCGGGAGGCCTGGGCCCTTGCAGGGAGGAGTAGAGAGGGAAGGGCTCTTTCCTCCTTTCTGGCCTGTTTGTCTGTCTTTCCCTCTCTTTCTGAGCCTCTTCCCACCCTCCCTTCGGTCTCACCCTTCCTCTGTGTGTTCCCTGGCCCATCTCCCTCCTTCTCCCGCCTGTTCTGAGTCCTCGTCTCATTTCTTTTCCTTTTTGTCTGGAGAACAAAGGCACTCCGCACTGCCAAGGGGAATGAGTTCAAAGAAACTGCAATTTTAGATTTCCTGAGAACTGGAGAGTGTGTGCGTGCACGTGTGAGCGCGTGCCCATGTGTACACGCGCAGGAACACACATGCACGCACAGCCGGCAGGAGTGGTGCAGGTGGGTTTCTCACTAACCAGGGCCCCTAGGATGCAGAACACATGTACAGGAAGACCCCTCCCCCAGGGGTGTGCAGTCCTGGCCATTTTGGGGGGGCGTGGCTCGCCTTCACTCCTGCTCCTGGCAGGGGTGCCTTTGTAGAAGGGATTACATGCTTTGTGGCTGTGTTCACCCCAGCTCAGGGGCCAACCAGATGTCACCCGTCCGCCCTTCCAAGCCCAGGCCACAGACGTACCCGAGGTGCTCTCCTGCACCCCTACATCCACTAGAAGGAAAAATTTGGTGTTTTGCAATCAGGAAAATAAGCCCAGTGGTCCCCCATCCCCCTATTCCTCTCCCAAGGCCTTAATTTGAAACACTGTTTTTCCTGGGAAGTGTAATTAGAGCAACATGTTGTCCCTAACGAGCTGGGTGGGGCAGGCAGACAATGGAGCCCTCCCAGCCCGCCTGGCTGCCCCCTGCGTGGAGCTCCCCTAGGAACCAGGATGCGAGGTGAGGGTCTACGGGATACTGGTGACAGGGTAATCTAGATGACTGGAGAAGCTTTTCAACACTTCTGCTGCCCCAGGAAGGGGTATCTGCCTAGTCTGTTATCACCTAGACCATGGAGGAAGCCCCACCATAACTCAGGACTGTGATCACTTTGCTGAACTGGCCATGGGACACCATTGCTGAAGAAGGGCTTCTGCTTTGATGGGGGAGAGCTTTGCCCTCATGATCTGAGCCATCTTGCTCAACAGCCTGCCCCCTGTAAACCCAGGTCTGCCCTGCATTCAGGGTAGACAAGGCAGGGGCAGTCAAATGTGGCTTCCTCTAGTGAGGCTAATGTCATACAGCTGCCTTTGAAGCCTGTGGCCCTCAGAGTCCCAGTCACCCATAAGACAGTGAACTAGATGTTCTGGTTACGTTTATAGGCTACAGCTGGGCTCTGCCTGGCAATGCTGCTGTGGCTGATAAAGACCGTGTAGGGTAGCTTCCTCTGATCATCCCTACATTATCCCTGCCTGTTAGGGTTCTATCCTTACATCCCCACCTCTGAGAGGGCTATCCCGCTGCTGTGGGAATAGGGGTGATGACGGCTCTGGATACTTAAGGCTGATGTAGGGGCAGGGAGTGATCTCTAGTGTTTGGTCCAGTGGCCCCGGGTAGAAGCTGGAGGAAGCCCCATGGGCAGCTCCATCTGAAGGACCATGTGCATTTTGATAGCACTGATGTGGTCTGAGGTAAAATAAGAGAGACGGCTGAGAAGGGTTCAAACATGTACAGCAGAAGCACAGCAACCAGTTTTCCTAAGATGGGGAGAGCCACGTGGTGACAGTTTCCTCGAGGAGTCCCTGTGGCAGCAATCCTCGAATGATGGGTTTTAGTCCTTCTGTAACCTCCAGACACAGGGGATGCTGCTTTTGGTGAGGGAAGTGCACGGGGTCTTTAAGTTGGATGCGGCCTTCTGTCCACACAGCTGGTCCCCCAGTAACTCTTGAAGGGAGAAAAATCCTCACAGGACTAGGTCTCGGAGGAAACAGGATTTGGACTTGGAGTTTTTGTCCTTACATTGGTACCATGTCTTTCTTTTAAAAATATTTTCATTATTTATGTTTGTGATACATATTATATATATAAAGTCAAGCCATAAAATAATTGTTAGTATATGTAGGACAAATATATATATATATATATATATATATATATATATATATATGGTATCTTGATCATTTTTAACCCTCACCACACTGTCCTTCTCCCAGCCTCTACAAAGTTTATCTTCCTCTTTCCTCCCATCTTGCTTTTATTTATTTTTTTTTTGTTTGTTTTTTTTGTTTTTCTCCGGTACCAGGAACCGAACTCACGACCTTGCGCTTGCCAGGCAGGCGCTTTTGCCGCTGAGCTAAATCCCCAGCCCCCATCTTGCTTTTATTTATCCACTCTTCCCCTATCTTTCTATCCCTCCTTTCCTTCAGTTATCCATTCACTGTCATTTGTTTATTAGATGGGGGGGATATAGTTTGTCCCAGTCGCACAAGTGTTTGTTTAACCAGTCAGATGACCGCAGAGTGGCACATGGTGGGGAATACCAGATTCAGTGGAACTAAGTACCAGTGACTACGGGAGCCATGGGGGTGCTTAAACCGAAGCTCAGCACACCAGAGAAGGTTTAAATGGGCATCTGAGGTCCAAGCAGAAGGCAGCCAGGTGAAGCACTTTCCAGAAAGAGGGACCAGTGATCCCCAAGCCTCAAAGTTAAAGACAGCAAGGTGCCTCCTGCCACCTGCTTGTGTTCAGAAGGGTAGGGGGTTGAGCATATCGAGGAGGTGGCTTGTTACTCCTTGGGATTTTGGAAAGAAAGTTTACATGGTAAGAGAAGTTTACATGTGCTCAGAGAAGTTAACAGGAAGGAGCTAGAAGACAAACCATCTTGCGGACTATGTCGATGTTCGCATTTACCACCAGTAGGTAGAGGGAGACTTTCAGGGTTTTCAGCAGAGAGTAACATTTTTAGAAAGCTATCCCTTTCTAAACACAACCACGGCATGTGTTGGTTTTTGGGAGGGGTTGTGCACGATCAGGTACAAGGAGACCACCTAGGGGGCGCTGGTGAATCCAAATGAGAGAGGGTGCTGGCTTGAACTAAAAAAGAAAACAGGCTGGGGGGCATTAGAGATACTCAGGGGCATGATGACCAGTGCTTGGTAATCAGTAGGCATGAGACATACCGATGAGGAGGAGGAAAAGGTACAGGTAGCATGTTTTTTGTTTTTGTTTTTTGGCTTGGTTGTCTAGGAGGATGTTGGGAACAGTTTCTGAGATGACATTTGAAGGGAGCAGGTTTTGGGAGTGGAGGATAAAGAACCTAGTTTTAGGTAAGTTCAATGTGAGAGGCAGTCGGATACAAGGAGGCATTGAGCAGAAAGACGTTAGGAATGGTGGTCTAGGGCTTAGAAGAGATGACAGGAGCAGAAATCCGGGGAGGGCTAAGGAGCCCTGGCATTCAGGGCTGGTTGGAGGAAGAGGGGGAGGCTGCCAGGGAGACTTGGCATCAGAAGTGAGAGTAGCCAGCAGTGGCAACCGGGGAGAGGGTTTTAGGAAGTGCACTGAGGTCAGCTGTGGGGGTGAGGGAAGTGAGAACCTGCAAGTGTCATTTGGGATGAGTACTGGGAGGAAACTGTTGACTTTAGAGAGAGAAGTTTCCAGAGAAGGGGTGCAAGGGACAGCACAGAGGGCAGAGAGCAATGAGGGCGGAGAGGTAGGGGTGGCGACGGAAGAGAGAGAAGAGAGGAAGAGGGCTGCTGGGGGAGCACAGAGAGGAGGCTACGGGTTGTGGGAGGAAAAGACCCAGGAGACAGAGTGGAGAACTGGGGAGGAGCAGCTGAGACGGGGTTCAGGGAGCCAGAGAGCTTTGAGGAGTGGGCCTGCAGCACGGTTCCCCTGAGAGAGGCAGTGTGCGGGTGCATGACACTGGGGGACAGAGGACTGTGGTGGCAGCTGGCAGGCTGGGTGGAGAGGGACACAGATGTCAGGATCCCAAGGAGGTGACAACAGCTGGCCTGGGACAAGAATATCCGGGGATCCCTGGGGACTGCTGTGAGGGCAGAGATGACCACGGGATGAGTGTGGTGGCCTCGTGCTGAGGAAGCTGTTCCCGCACACACCTCTAACTTCTGCCTCTGCTTTTTTCCTCCTGCCTCCACTGGGCCCGACTCTCCACAGCTGTGCGCTCCTGCCTTCTTCCTCCAGGGCCTTCTCCAAACGGTACCAGTGCTTAGCCCGCGCAAGAGTTTGTTCACGTCCTCCACAGTGAGCGGGATCATGGCGAGGGGGAGCTGGTCCTTAGTGTACAGAGAGGACGTCAGCACATGGGGCTTGAGGGAGCCTGCGGGAAAGGTGGACCATGGAAATGTGGGCAAAGAGGGTACAGCCCAGAGTGGGGCCTGGAGAGGATGTGGTGTGGCGGAACTGTGTCCAGTTTCCCTTGGTGAGTCTAACAGGTAGTAGCAGCCGTGGGGGAGAGATCATTCCTCCTTCCTCCCTTCTTGGAGGCATAGGGCTGTCCCCTTGCTTATCCCTTTTTTTCTGTTTGTGTTACGGGCTTTTGGCCTTGGCCCTCTTATGGCTGGGCATCGTCCTTGAGCAGCCATGAGCAGGCCACAAGTGGGCCTCGCAGCACAGCCCTTCCCTTAAGAGGCCGTCCCTGCTCATCACCATGGAGGACATTGAACTAGGGCACCCCTTAGCGGCCCCCTGCTGCAGCGGCTGTGCAGGCCCTGGGGCGTCTTTCATGTGATGTGCACAGCGCCCCCCTGGAGTTGTGTGTCCTGGGGCCCAGTCACGCCCCTCCTCAGCTAGTCAAGGGGTAGGAGCTTCCCACAGATTGCCTCCACAGGTGGGTCTGTGGAGATGATACATTCCTACTCATGTCCCGGTGATGGGGTTTGTAGCACTGAGCTTCTTACTGCCACAGGTTAGTGAAGTGTGGTATCATCAGTGTGTCAGTGGACAGGAAAGATGGCTCCGGCTGGCTGTGAAGTTTCACGGAGACAGGAGAAAGCTGGTTTTTCTCTACTCCAGCTCCTCTCACCATCTATCAGAGCATCTGTGGATGGGTGTACCTGCCATTCTTTAAGAAGTCACTTGGAGAATGAATCCAATGACTCCATTATTGGTTAAATGAGATTGTATGAATCCAGCCCTTTAAAGTGTGCAACACATCCATTTAAATCATAGTTAATATTTCCTGAATTTCAGGGCCTCCGTGTATGGATGTGCAGGTTGGGCACTGCACAAGAGCACTGAGTCTAAGGAGGTGTGCTATCTAGCAGAGACACCATATATTTGTATTTCTTATAAAGTTTTCCAGTAGATGGCAGTAAAGTGTCTTGTCCTAATAAATTTATAAACTGATAATTTTCTAAAGAGTATTAAGAAAAAGACATCTTACTCTAATTGTCACACAGGTGTCACTAGCAGTACTAGTAAGCCTTTACTTGTGTTCCAGATGCTTCTAAATGCATAGGTATTAACTTCAGTGCTAACTAACCATTAGAGGTTGGTAACTTTTATATTCACTTAATAGATTAAAGAAAGCTGGGCTACACAGAGGTAAAATAACTTATTTGGCTTCATGAATATGGAACTAGGATTCACACCCAGAGCCTGGGAGTCTCACTATAGCTATTGGAGTTAACTAATCTGCCTCCCATACTCCTGCTCCCCATAATTCTTCTTGGTCACTGGGGATTCCTGCCCAAGCCTTCCTGGCAGACCCTCAGCAGGCTGGAGTTGGCACATGCCTTGTTATCTCTGTGGCGATGACGGGGCCTCACCAGGGGCACACGTTGGTGCTCGGGGACAATGGACACACATCCCTTCTCTCATTTGTCGTTTGCTCTGATCTTTCTGGCTTACAGTGAGCAAACCCTATTCTCACGGGGACAGGGGTGAGAGGTGGGGCCTGGAGCTAGGAGGTATCTGGGTCTGGCTGTGCGGGGTGGGAACCCAGCTGAGCCAGGGGGTGAACCTGGCTAGAGGGCGGGCACGTGGTCCTTGGGGCGGAAGTGAGTGTGGCTGGATGAGGCAGGCATCGTCGTGCAGGCATGTTTGAGGGCGTGGGTGCGTATGTGTGCGTGTGTGTTGGAAGGGGAGGTGATGGGTGTCCCAGAGCCTGCACTGTGAGAGACGGGTGACCAACCCTGGATGATGGTGGTTGCGTTGTGACCTTGGAAAAGATGGGACCTGGCACAAGCTGACGCGACTCTGTCACTTCTGCTGCCCCTTTGCCAACGTGGGGTGTCTGCCCCTGTTTCTCTCTCACCGCATGTGACTTCTTCCTTTGCCTTCTGTCTCTCTTATCCCTGTGGCTTGGTCTTCTTCCTCCCATCTTTGTCTCTGTTCCATTTGCTGTCCCCTGCAGTCAGAGGACACAGACCTGCCCTACCCACCACCCCAGAGGGAGGCCAACATCTACATGGTTCCCCAGAATATCAAGCCAGCTCTGCAGCGCACTGCCATCGAGGTGAGCCTGGCCGGGGCGGGGCTGGGGCTGTGAGATGCACGGATCCTTTCTTTTCCTAGTCCCAGCCTTCTCCAGGGCCTGGAGCCATCCCCGGCACTCTCCTTACCCTGTGTCCCCAGATCCTGGCATGGGGCCTTCGGAACATGAAGAGTTACCAGCTGGCCAGCATCTCCTCCCCCAGCCTCGTGGTGGAGTGCGGCAGCCAGACGGTCCAGTCCTGCGTCATCAGGAACCTCCGGAAGAACCCCAATTTCGATGTCTGCACACTCTTCATGGAAGTGGTGAGCCCCATCCCCTGCTGTCTTCTTCGAGTCCTGGAGTGTAGTATGTCTTCGTGGCCCAGGCAGCCTGAGAGTTCAGCTCTAACTCCCTGAGGGATCCTGGGCAGCTTACAGTCCTCTCTCCTGCTCACTTTCCTGTGAAAATGGGGGAGAAATTCATGCTCTCTCCTCCCGGAAGACTTTCATCCTTTGTGCAGCATAAGCAGAGCTGGCTTACGCTTCCCTTCCAGTTCTAGGTCAGCAGAAGCTTCCAGAAGCTCCTCCTAGCCTGGCTTGCCTTCCAGGGCAGGTTTCAATGCCCCAGCTCCCCTCAGAGACCCATGAGGGTACACCTTCATGGTCTCCTCCCCAGCCCCCCTGACCCTGTCCTGCCCCAGCTGAGGCCTTTCAGGAGATCACCCCTTCAGCCCTCAGGCCCCACAGCTCTCTCCAGCTCCCTGGGCTGCCTGGGTCTAGTGGCCGGTATAAGGCAAGTCTGAGGAGGGGAAAATGGTTTGCAAGATGAAAGCGCTATAGAAATTCCAGGCCCAATGGCTGTCAACAGGAGCCTCCTTTTGGCTGAGCAAAAGCTGCCACTGAAGGAGAGCATATAAATTATTTCAAGTTGTGTTCAAAGTGCTTTTGGGGTGAGGGGAGAAGAATCTGTGTCTGCAAGCCAACTCTTGAGTATCCACTTGGGGGGGACTGTCTGCAAGAAATGTCAAGCCCTGGGCCAACTCCCCCTCTCTCCTCAGCCAGAGAGGGTTCAGGGAAAGTAGGTTCTGCTTTCCTCTCAGGCTGAGCCAGCTGGGCTTGGACGGTGAAGCCTTGGGGAGGAGCCAGCCTCCATATATAGCCGTGAAGAGGCAGACAGAAAGGTGTGTGGCTTCCACCCCAGTGGCCTGCTCCTATGCTCAGCCATCTGCCATTTTGGATTTCTAGCTTTTGTGGATTGTCTGGAGGTTTAGTCATTTTGTGCTCCTTGGGCCTGCCTATGAAGGGCCTCCCTTCCTCCTTTATGACTTCCCAGAGATGGGCCTAAGCTGGTGCCCAGAGCTTCCTTTCTTTTCCTCCTAGATGCTGCCTAGGGAGGAGCTCTACTGTCCCCCCATCGTGGTCAAGGTCATCGACAACCGCCAGTTTGGCCGCAGGCCTGTAGTGGGCCAGTGCACCATCCGCTCCCTGGAGAGCTTCCTCTGTGATCCCTACACATCAGAGAGTCTGTCCCCACAGGGCGGCCCAGGTAGAGGGAAGGCCCAGGGTAGAGGGAAGGCCAGGGCAGGGGCTCAAGGGCAGGCACACTTCCCAGCTGGGATGCATGCATCTCTCCTGGGGCTTCTGCTCAGCTAGGCAAGAGCTGGGAGCTTCCCTTCCTCAGGCTGGGCACGCCTGGAGCAGGTGACCCATACCTGAAGAGCTGAGGAATGACAGCTCAAGTGGGGGACAGTTATGGAAGAGTTGAGAGGGAGGGAGGTAACTGTATAGGGAGACAATAGGGGGATGAGAAAGGTGAGGAGAGTAAGAAAGCAAGAATGGGGAGAGGGAGGGATGGGGTCTGAAGAGAGGAAGAAAGGAGACACTGTGAGATGCAGAGGCTGAGGGGTCCCATCACAGCTCCCTGGCTGAGCCCTCACCACCCTGGATGTGGGTCTTCCTGCAGATGATGTGAGCTTGCTCAGTCCTGGGGAAGATGTGCTTATCGACATTGATGACAAGGAGCCCCTCATCCCTGTCCAGGTAGGAAAGGCGCTGGTCCTATGGGAGAGGCACCGGCTTTGACACCTTCTCCCTTGGTTCTTCCTGTATTGTCACTGCTTCTCCCCTACTTTTACTGCCATGCATCCTGCACCCTGCTGGCTGTGACTACATGATGGGGGGACCTAAATAAGGGCTTTCTTTCTGGTGGAAGGCGGGATGTGTGGTCTTCAGGGCAAGGCCCAATCATTTTCCTAGAAGTAAGTGAAAAAAATGAACCACTACTTTGGGGGCTATGTTGTGGGTTTTCCCTTGGGGATCACTCAGTAAACCTGGGTCAGGGAGCAAGTGAAACAGAAGGGAAACCGGGGAGGAAGTGCTGGGGAGCCTTGGGGAGTCCCTCACCTCCCCTTGATGGGCCCTTCATCAGGGGAGGATTCTTCTACGAGCTTGTGCTGGTTGGAACCTTGGAGACAGTTTTTGAAAAAAGCACTAGGGTTTCTTTCCCTATTCTCCCACTCCAGGAAAAGGATGGGAGAGGGACATTATACTCATGATCTCCAACCCTTGGGCTGGGGGCAGTAAGAGCCATCCTTTTGCTATACACTCAGCGACCTATGGCCTGCTGGTGATCTAGGTGCAATGCTAAGTGACATGACAGGAGGTCTGCGGCACCTTTCACCCAGGGGGAGCACTGTCCCCATCTTGGGCCCTGGAGAGTTGCTGGATTCTCCAAGGCTGAGACTACTCAGTCATTCCTGCAGGGGAAATGGAGAAAGCTCCCTGCCATGAGCACCAGCCTTGAACTTGCTGTCTGTTCAGGTTGTCACCCTCGTCTCTGGGCTTTGTGTGTTTCTGGCCACACATTGCATGACATCCCTGGCACCCTGGGGCTCTCAGCGCTTCTGAGCTGTCTGCAGGAAGATCCTTGAAGCTTACAAAGACAGCACATGTGTTGCAGGCCCAGGAGGGGTGCACTTCAGAAGGAGTGTGTGTTCTTTAAGCAAGAGAACAAAATTGGGTGCTGGGTTGAGCTCATTACCGTCAAATGTGTTTATAGGGCATTTCTCTGACACTTAGGAGTGACTGCTGCTTCCTTCTCACTCTCTTATCTTGTTGCTTCCAGGAGAGCATTTCTGGGGTTCAGTTGGGGGCTTAGTTGTTACCAAGACAAGAAGTCTTACTCTCCACTGTCTCTGATGAAGGCATCAGAAGCCCTGAGCTCCCCATCTCCCCATCCTCTGTGGCTGTCCAGGGCTCTAAATCCCACCTATCCTTCCAAACCCTGCTGTTGCAGAAACCTTTGCCCTGCTCTCCTGCTCAACTGGTCTTCTTTAAGTCTCAACTTAGGCATAGTCACCTCTTTTGAGGAATCCTCCCTGGCTCTTCCCCTTCTACTGCGAGGTCTTGGTCACTAGCTTGCCTTAGGCCCTGTGTATCTGTGTAGCTGTCAGCATCTTCCTGGACTAGCCTAAGGATAATGATTGGAGCATCTTCCTGTTTAAATTCTCAGTACTTAGCACAGGGAGGTGTTCAGAAAAAATCTGTCTGGATGGATAGACAGATGGGTGGATGGGTGGATACATGGTTGGGTGGGTACATGTGTGAATGGATGGATGGATTGGTGGATGGATGGGTAGATGGATGGGTGGATGGGTGGATGGGTGGATGGATGTATGAATGGGTATATGGGTGCATAGGCAGATGAATGGATGAGTGAGTGGATGGATGGATGGGTGGATGGATGGATGGGCGGGTGGATGGATGAGTGGATGCAAGGATGGATAGCTGGCCCATCTCTGTATAGGTTTGAAGAGAAACCTTTCCTGGCCTGGAAACCTAAATGAAAATTTCAGATAGCTCTACATTAAATTTAGCTTAACTTCTGTGCTTGTGCCTTCTGGCCTGGTTGGGTGTTTATAGCTGAATTGGGCAGATAATTTGCCCCAAACCCTGGACTGCCTGATCCTGGCTTCTGCTCTCCACCCCTAAGTGGGCCTGTCTGAGACTGTAAGAAAAGTGCAGGGCCTGCCCAGAAGGATTTCCGTTTTGTGTGTGCTGCCCTCAAAATGTCTACAAATTCAGATGGGGAGGGATTATTTTGGGTCCTGTTGGCTACAAGCACAGCCAGAGGCAGACAATGAGGAGGCCTAGTCTGGCCATCGTCCCAGTGTTGACATGAGGGAACTGGGGCTGGGGTCTGAGCCAGAGCCAGGCCTCTGCTCTTCATGGGAGCACTTGGCTATTCCTGCTAGAGCTGATGGCCAGACTATGGGGCAGGGATCTGGGAGCTGGGCTCTTGGCTGAGTGCCACAGGGGGAGCGCTAGCTGCACTTGGACCAAGAGGTGAAAGCAAGACCAGCCTGCCCTGAGCGAGGAGGCTTGGACCCTCCCCTTACTGAGAAATCTGTCTGATGGAGGAGGCATAGCCCTATCCTTAAAGAGTCCCAAGCGAGCAGGGAGACCAGTCCTGGTCTTCAGGGAGCTCTGGCTCTGTGGGGAGACCCACAGATGTGCTTTTCTCTGAGATCCATTGATCAGATTTGGCTGACTCAGGAACTCTTTCACTTTTATCTCTCAGCTCCTTGCTTCTCCAGCCCCTGGCGCTTTGGAGGACTAGGTACACTGAGGCTGACCTGGGCGGTAGTGAGCTCCAGTTGCAATACTTTGCAGATAATTTCCTCTTTCCACTCTCTCCAGTGCAGATAGAATGAAAGGCTCTCACCTCTAGGGGCTGAAGGGTAAGAAATCTGGTAGAACTTGAATTTTGCCTGGCTCCTGTTTGCCCAGCCCATGTTTCTCAGCAACCTGTTTCTTTTCTACAGTTGATGCCCTCTTCTGGTTGCTTGCTGAGTCCTGGCTGTGCTTACAGCCTGGGCCTCTCCCTCCCTGACCTGGCTCACCCCTACTCTTGCCATATCCCACCTTCTGTCCTTCCCCTGGCTTACACCTTCTCTCTTTTCAGAAGGCCTGCTCACTATCAGGTAGGGAATGCCACCCAAGACTCTTGATGCTCCGGCCGTGGCTGGCAATCAGAGCAGTTCTTAGCTTTCTAGAAGTGTCTTGGTTTGTGTCAAGAGTGGTCAGTTTTGAAGGGGATTCTAAGTATATGTGCAAAGCAGACCCTCTGGGGCTCGTTGGTTAGTGTCTATGTCTGGAGCTGAGGATTCCAGTCCCTGTGTGGATGGAGCAGTGCCCTGAACTGTTTTCTGAGGTGATGAGAACTGGGTGATCAGAGCGTTCCTGGATATTAACTCGACTGTTTGCTGTGGGTCTCTGTGTCTGTCCTCCATGTAGGCCTCAGACTTGTAGCCTGGGCGTGGGGCATGTGTGTTGGGTTGTGTGTGTGTGTGGTGTGCACATGAGTGTGCATGCAAAGTCAGGGGAGGATGTGGCCAGAGGTGTGTCTAGTCTTGGAGGTGCTGGCCAGAGGTGTGTCTAGTCCTGGAGGTGGCCTTGCTAGAATTATGGCCTTCACTTTTAACTTTGCGAGGGAGGGCAGGCCTGGAGGTACCCTTGGCGTTGGAGATTAGAAGTACTTTATTCCATCCGGGTCTCTGCTTTAATAAAATGGATATATTCATTTTTCTCTGGTCATAAAAATGTTTCATAAAATTTGGAAAATATCAAAAAATAATGAAAAGGAGGCAACTGATTCAATGCTGCCTCCAACTGAATCAATTGCTGTCCACATATCATTCTTCCTCCTCTTTTTCCTTCCCCCAGGTTCCTCCTTCTGTCCTTGAGTCTACCTCTGGTTCTGACGCCATTCCTACCTTTAAAACAAAATTAGGGCCTTTGTTTACTAAACTGTTCGTGTCATTGAACTAGTTTTTGGTGTAAAGGTTAGAAAGATGGGAAGAAAAACAGTATGCAGTCACACCCATTTTCTGTACAGGGTCTTGAAGCTGCAAGTAGAGATGGTGGCCCTGTATCTCCCCAGAGCCCACCTTCCAGGCACTGAGAGGCCCCCAGAGCCAGTGTGGTGTCAGGGTGACTCTTGTCTAGCATTCTGAGAGCCCCTAGGGTAAAGGTCTCCAGAAAAGGAGCATTTTTGGGGTGGTAACACAGAGGGTGAACACTTGGGAAGTTTAACTGACCATAGGGAGATGAGAAGAGTCTAGCAGATCTCAGCCAAGAAATGCCACAGGGATGAGATGCTTTATTAACAAGGACACCAACATCTGCAACTCTCCTGGCCCTGAGGAATGCGCCTGGGATAAGTATTTAGAAAAGCTCTCCCAAGAAGCAGCTGAGGAAGGCCTCGAGGCTGAGTGGGCTGAGAACAGAGAGATGGGGGCTTGGCTGATAGGCAAAAGAGCTTGGCCAGAGGCTTAGAAGTGGGACTGTGTGTGTGTGTGTGTGTGTGTGTGTGTGTGTGTGTGTGTATGTTTCCTACGGGGGCACAGCAAGAAGATAGGCCTGGCAGGCTAGCATGGAGGAGGCGTCAGAAGGTGGCACCAATCTGCTCCCTGCACCCATGGGCTGAGGTGCTGGGGCTGACCCCCTCCCAGGGCCCCAGGCTTGGGCTAATTTGGAGCTTGCTACTCTAGTTATAGTCTCTGGGACACCGTGAAGATGGAAACACTCTCCCAGAATTGGAGCAGCAAATTATGCCCGAATTCCAAAGGAGAACGTGTAATTTCTGAAGCTGGACCAGATCTTTGGAGCACTATGTTTAGCTTTATTTTCTCTCCCCTGTTGCTCTGGTGAACTGCCGGTTTCCCTCTCATTTTTCTAAAAAAGAACTATATTAAAAATAACAATAAGGCTTCTGTGGGGTTCAGGATGAGAACAGGAGGGGCAGGGCCAGTCTGCCCAACTAGGGGTGCACGTGGAGTTCATCCAGTCTATTCTGGGGCTCACATCATGCCAACAGCACACGGCCTGTGGCACTGGCTGGGTGCCCACAGGCCACTCTGCCCTCCTGCCCAGGCTTCTGCTGCTGATATGCCACTCAGTGATGTGCCCTTCACAGAGCAGGAAGGGCTCCACGAGTCCCCACAGTCTCCCTCAGGTCCCCAAAGGGCTTCCACCTCTGTGCCCTTCTTGACTGTCTGGAAAGTGTGTCCCAAAGCACAAGTCCATCCCTCAGCTCCGGGTCCCCTCAGGTCCCTCACCTCCCCAGCCTCCCTCCTGTGCCTTTCCTGCGACACTGCCTGCCTCTCTGGACTGTTTGCTGCCTCACCCAAGCTGTGTTTTCTTCTCCTTTGCCACTGCTAGTTGCTCTGGCTGTGCATCTCTTTCTTGCCTTGTCTACCTGCCAGGCCCTATCACTTCCTCCTGGCCAGTTATAGTGGCTTCTGATGTCTCCCTACCTCCAGCCCTGAGCCCCGAGGCCTTCTTGGCCCAGCAGCCCAGGAATAAGTTCCCCGTAAACTGCAGAGTTAGAGTAAAGAAGACAGCTAGCAAGGACTTGATGCACAGGTATGGCAGGGGTTGGACTGTAAGACTTCAGTCTCCCTGATGTAGGGCTTTGTGGTGCCCAGGTTCTTGAAGAGAGAAGACTGAGAAAGCTATGCCTGGCAGAAATGGGGGCGCTTAGCTATTCAGACTCGCCCCACCCCGCACGATGCGAAGCTGGGAAATCTCTGACACAGGCTGACTCTGAAAAGGCAGGGGAAGCATATGAGAAATGGCTGAATTGGCTGTGCCCAGGACAGTGAGAAACCGGAGCCCCTTCAAAAAGGAGGCCTCACCTAATGGGGGTAGGCATAGCTTTCATTTCATTTATACCCACTGTTACCCTGTGAAGTAGGTTTTTTGTGTCTTATCTACATGGGGACATTGGCTCAGAGAGGTCAGATGCTTGCCCAAGGTCACCCGGCCCGTGGAACCATGGGGCCAGGCTTGCCTAATTCTGGAGCACAAGTTATTGCCACATCTGTGGCTGCGCCCTGGAGAAAGCAGAGGGTGCCTGGATGGAGGGAGAATATACTCCCTTGGGGTTGTCCAGCCTTTTCCAAATGCATCCTCGAGTCTTGTTGCTAACCTGCATGTTTAATTTGTAGCTTGCCGATGGTCTGTCAAGCTTGGGCCCCACTAACATGGCGTCTTCTCCATCCAGTCCTCATGTATGTATCACTTACCTACTTGTGGGTCCTTGATTTTCCCTGGGGACTGGGGATGGGAGTTAGGAGGGGAGCACAGGGGAGGGAAGAAGGGAAGGATTTCTCTGCATAACACAAGCACCTGTGCAGCAATGGGTGGGCGGGGTGAAAGCTATGGGGTAGAGTTACAAATGTCCTCGTGTTATCCCTGGTGCCTCCTGGAATTTGTGTTCCCTGGTGTGAGGACCCGGGCTCAAGTGGGGCTGCACGGGCTGGTGGAAGCAGAGAAGACTCTAGGTAGACTCTCACTGTGGGGACATGGGCCATGAGAAGCCTCTGTGGGAGGTGGCAGGGCCGACTTTCTGCTTTCCAGATGCAAGAAAGGTGTGTGTCACTGAGGAACCCTGGCTGGTCCTGGCAGGTTCTAAGAGGTCTGCTTGGCCAGTGGTCAGTGACTGCTGTTCCTAGAAGGGCTCATTTGTGCCTCCTCAGCAGATTTCCTCTGCTTTATCTTTTTGGGTGGGGCTTTCCAGTAAGATGACATTGGAGTGAATCTTTACCATGCCTTCATGGAGGCCCATGCTTGGGCCAAGTGGAGCCCTGACCTGCCGGGGGAGGCATAAGAGATAAAACTTGTCAAAAAGTACTGGTTTAAATTCCCTTCATGATGCCAAGGGCAGGCATTGCTGTATTGTCTTCTGGATTTCTAGGAGGAGGCAATGCCTGTTTTCCTTGTTCTGTGATTTATCTTTTGTAGAAGAAACAGGAAACACAAAGTGTAAGGTAGAGAGTTAAAACCACCCGTGTTCCTATTTAGTTGAAGATGAACACTGTGAAGATTTTGATGAGCTTACATTTTTAGATATCTTTTATGGTCACGTGCATACTTTTAAAAACAAAACTGAAATCATATTGAACTTTGATCTGCATGTTAAATTTAAGGTATAATGTGAAGGCCTTTCCATATTTTTTATAAAAACTATGGCTGCATGTCATATGGACATCCATAAAGTATTAACTACTCTGTATCATCAATTTGTTATTTAATTTGTTAATTCTCACTGCTGTCCTCTTTTATATACTTTAGAGGAGATTTTTTAAAAGTTTGCTTTCTGTAGTCATTTCTCATTAAAACTTATTCCTAGGCATTTTATAGCTTTTATTTCTATTTCTCAGAGGAATATTTTTTCCTTATGATTTTTGACTATGGCTAAAATATAAGAAAACAATTATTTTTGTATACTTGTCTTGAAACTGACTCTTTATTAAGCTTTAGTATTAGTTCTGATAGTTGTTAGTTGATTTTGTTGGGTTTTCCAGGTGGATAAGTTTGTTTTCTTCTGGTAATGATAAATGTGACTTTCTTGCTAATAGCTCTATCTTATTCTTGCTTTTTTTTTAGAATAATGTTTAATAATGGAGATGTTAGTGATCAAAGTAGTTTGCACCCTGACTAATGAGAATATCTGTACCATTAATTACAATAATGATAGACAGTCTTGATTTTTGTCAAGGTTGTATACTTTATAAAAAGTTAGTTTATGCTGAGCAACTTATGTGAAGACAACAACTTGCAGTATAACAACCATTGGTGAATTCCTACAATGCTGTCTAGTGAAACTACGTATTGTCTCTAATGTTCTTTTAAATTGTCTCTAATGTTCTTTTATTATTTTCTTATTCCCTTTAATGATTTGATCAATCTTCTATTCTTACATCTGGTAATCTGCCCAACTTCGTTGAAGATAGCAATACGTAATAGAACAACCACTGTTGATCCCTATCATTTGGTTTGAGACTCCATATCATTTTTAATGTCCTTGCTTTGTTTTGTTTATATTTTGCTATTGTTCTTTTTTCGTACTATTTTCTTTAAAATAAAAAAGTTAGTTTATTAATAGCTTCAAAATAGATAATACTATGGGAGTTTAATTTTATCAGATATTGTTTGGTGTTTATCAAGATGGTCATTTTGTTTTCATTGCCTTGTTAATATAATGCATAATTTTCCTGTATTCGTGGGGTAACCCAGATTGGCCAATTAGTCATGGTGTTCTAATTTTCTGAGACTGAGTCCCTCCTGTCCCATGCCATCAAACAGATGGCTGGCTAACTGAAAATAAATCGCTAATCAGGTACTCATTTAAAGTCATACATACGTGCCACAAACATTTCGGTTTTAACCAAAGCCGTGTTAATTTACAATCATCTGATGTGTGCTGAGCCCTCTGCTTTGGGTTTCAGTGTGCTGAACTGGGTGTCACGTCATCCTTTTGCTATAAACCGCAGCCAATTGTCTATGATTTTTAAGTTTTGATGAGAGGTTAATGATACTTGCAAACATATCTGAATGGCGAGTTCTTTTAACATTCAAGATTCTTCCCACACCCTTTATGCTGTCTCACTTGGACTTAAGTTTTAAAAAAAAAATTCAAGAATTAAGTTCAAATTTTACGTTTTTGCAACGTTTATCAGTTATCGTGAGTACATGTGGCAGAACCAAGTTTGGAAAGAAAAGCGATTGGCTGGTGGTAAACAAACAGAGCACCTGCTGAGAGCTGCCCTCCAGAGAAGCCTCAGGCCTCCGCTGGCTGAGGACCTTAGTCAGGTTGGTGGCAGACAGGGCATAGTGTCTGTTCATCCAGGTGAACCAGAACTTTGTAAGCAGAACTTCTATTATGTATTGGGTTGGATTTACTGTTACTTATTTAGAATTTTTGCATCTCTACAAATATTATTATTAGAATTTTTGAATCTCTATTAATATTATTTTTAGGCTCTGATACCAGGGTTTACCAACTCTTTAAACATATTTTTCAGGTGTGCTCCTACTGTCTGTGCTTTTTAAGTCTGTATGGGGTGAGAATTATTGTTTCTTAAGGTACAATACACTAGAGCCACTCTTTCTGAATTTTACTAGTTGGAAATGACGTGGTAAACATTTTGAATAATTGCTTCATGTAGAATAATATGAATCAACCTAGATTTAAAAATGACTAACAATCATGTAACTTAAAAAGTGGTGGCCACACTGTGGAGATTCTTCAAAAACTGAAAATAGAAATTCTATTCAAACCAGGTGTACCACTTCTGGGTATTTCTCCAAAGAGTTAAAGACATCAGATTATGGAGATATATGCATATCCATGTTTATAGAACAACCCACAGTAGATAATTCTTGGAAATGGCTTATATGTCCATCAACTGATGAATGGGTAAAGAAAATGTGATATATAGTGGAATATTACTCAGCCACAAAGAAGGATGAATTTCAGTAATTTGTAGGAAAATGGATGAGAACCTTACAATCATAACGCTAAGTGAAATAAATCAGACACAGGAGGTTAAATGTTACATGGCTTCTCATATATGAGAAGTCCAAACTATAAATGATTTAAAGAGCAAAATAAAAGAAAGATGATGAGGAATGAGGTAGACCTTTTGCAAATGGGGTGGGGATCTAGCACTGGAAGTGGGGAGGGGAAGGGAAAGTAAAAATTAAGAACAGCTATGTGTATGTACCAACTCCGCAGGATGAATGTATTGCAAACATGCACTAATAAAAATTTTCAAAGCAAATAATATACATTAGCCAATATGTATATAATTACAAATGGGAAAAATGTGGCCATGTGAATTATATGTATGATTTAGATGATTAACAAAGTTAGTTATTTTTTTCTTGAAGGCTGTGTTGCTTTTTTTTGAGACAAGGTCCCACCATGTAGTTTGGTCTAGCCTTGAACTCACTCATGCAGCCCAGGCGGGTCTTGAATTTGCAGCAGTTATCCTGCCTCAGCCTCCTGCGTGCTGGGATTATGGGAGTGTGCCATCAAGCCTAGACTTGTGTTGTATTTTGCAAGGTTTGAATTACAGAAAAATTTTAGGAATATAAATCTTATGTAATCGTATAAAATGCAACTGCCCTGGTGCAACTCATATGTAAAGCTGGGCCCAGCCCCTTTTTAAGGGGGGGATTCTTTGATCACTTTCTACTTCATCAGTCAGTTTGGTAGCTTGGATGTGCCCATGTTGCCTGGTGACATTAGGATGGGTTTGTAATGTGGTGACAATAAAAGAAAATACTTCCGTATCTGTTTTATTTTCATCCTCGTGCTTAGTTTTGTATATTTGTTTTACTGTATTTATCTTTTTTAAAAATTAGGCTTAATACAATTTCATCTGTTTTAGGATTTTTTTTCATCCAAACACAATTTTTGCTGATATAAGGTTAATTGCTTCAATTTCTAGTGGGAGGTCATTTTTGAGCTCTCTCACTCTGAAATTCCTATGATATATATTTGGGTTATTTTGAATTAACATTTCATTCTCTTTTCTTGAGAAAAAAAAACTTTAAAAAGTGGTGTTTATTTGCATTCTCTTTTAAAGATGTTTAAGTTTTGCTGTTCATGCTTAAGCATACCTAAGTTTGTATTACATCTGGAGTGTGTGTGTGTGTGTGTGTGTGTGTGTGTGTGTGTGTGTGTATGTACTGTGAGGTTGAGTTAGTTTTTAAATATTTCCCATATGAATAACAATGCTCTATGTGACTATCATGTTAGTATAGAATGACCTATTCTTTTTGTTAACTAATTATGACAGTTGTGTTAAAAGAATTTCATAGAAGTGTGAATCTGTTTATGGGCTTGCAATTCTATTTTACTAGTCTATTTCTTCTTCTGTTCTAATATTCCACCACCTTTTTTACTGTAATTTTTCTAATAAGTTTTGATATCTGATAAAAAACTATCCAATCTTGTTTATTTTCAGCAGTTTTATTGCTATTCTGGTCCCTTGCTTTTCCACCTTCAGAATCAGCTTGTCACCAACATTAACAAAAACCAAAATAATTGTTGAGATTGTGTGATTGAGTTATAGCTAGTATCTGGATCAATTTGGGGAAGGATAGACAGTTTCATAGTATTGTCATTTAAACTGTAAACACGATATATCTCTGTATTTAGGTGTTTTTAATGTCTTAATATTTTTATAACTTATCAAACAAGTCTAGTACAACTTTTTTT